GTTCGATCTTCGTTGATGACATTGTACCATGTTAGGATATGATTGTTGAACGAGCACTAGATATCATTCCAGAAGATATCCGAATCCAGAGGTACAGACGAATGATGAGAGGTAGGTGTTTTTGTGGTTATTCTTCATGCGAGGTTTCTGTTCCGTAGGGGCCGTTCTGGCTGGCCGAAAGCTGCATCTTCTACTAGAGCTGCAAAACTACGATCCTATGGTCCCCTACATGGCGCCTTATATAGAGGAGGCCAAGTTCCAAATGCAAGAAGAACAAGAATTGCTGGCTTTCCATCCTTGGGATCGCCGACTGTACGTCTCGGGGTTGATAGCGTCTCTCGGTAGGCTTTGGAACAGGGGAGTACTTAGAGAGTTGGAGCGTAATAGTAATCAGGAAGTGATCACATCGAATCAGCCCTCACTTATCACGTATGGATATTCGGACAGTTAGGGTTTGACTCTCCAGAAGAACGATAATTTGCACTCGATCGGTGTTCGTCGGTTGCCGAGATAACGTTAGGTTTATATCATGATATGAAGTAATATTCGATACTATGATTTATAATAGTGGTATATGATCCAATTATATACAGTCCTCGCGAGACTCAATTCAATATCTCATCGATGGGTCCATTCTCCGTTTGGCATGCGTTGTGAGGATTGATCGATGAATTTTATCAGCATTGACCATAGCTCAGCGGAAGCGAGGGGGAATAAGCCTCCTTAGCGTGAGTATTAGCTCGAATCTTATGGATTAATACTTAATGATACGACGTGGCTCGCATCCTGGATCATTGATTACGGACTTTTCCCACCGCAGTGAATCGTCCTTTTTTGGTTGGGCATAAGCCGTCAGAAGTTTCACCTTCCATATTTCAATCTAGTGGATACTGATCCGCGTAGTTTATATGGCAGCTGCTGCTGCGGTTGCAATAATGGCTGCAAATATTCCACTTGATCCCTCTATCCATCCAATTCCTCCATCATATGTATCACTATTCTCCCTCAGATACACGGCAGGTGTATCCGGTTTTGGCGAGACGTCGATGCATTCGACTTTCCTGACGATGTAGTCCTAGAACGACTAATGCAACATGGTACATTCGTCGCT